CAGTGAGATGAGCTTGGACATCTTCAAAAATAGAGCTCATTAATTAATAATAAAAATTATTATTATGCCACCCACACAATACATACATTGTTGTTACACCTTAATTACTTCTAGTGCTTCTATTACATATACTACTACTAATGCATATTACATAGGTTTCAATTTTCTACTTTATTTATTTACATAAAGAGTGATTGAGTGTCATCAATTGGCTACTTTGACAGACTCTTAGTGATTTTTCTTTTTCTGTTTTATACCACAAGCATCTACTTGTATTACTACTTACCAAAGATGGTTTCTTTATACTACATTTGTTCATTTTTTTAGTTTATACATATGCACCTTATTTAATTTGCTCCATTATTTTCTATGTAAAATGGGTCCTGCAAATTGCCTATTTGTAAGTGATTGATCTGTGTAATTAGTGGGGTTACAAATAATTTACCATAAGGACTAAATATATGTAAATCTTTCAAGATGTGAAACAAATAGACTGGCATAAAGATGTGTGTGGAACAAGTGCACAGTCAATAGATGGTTTTTGCTATTACAGAGTACTATCTTTGCACGTTATATGTTATAGTGTATCTGTTTATAGCTATTAAAATAATAGGAAAATTTTATTTGTACCCCACATTTGTACCTCATTTTATACCCCGAGAGTTTTCCCTGACATTAAATGTAAGTGCAAACTGGTATTATGCCAGTGTTGCACTTACATTTTATGCCGTGGTAAACCTTTGGGGTACAAAGTGGGGTGAGAGTAGCACAACCCAAAAGAATAACCTAATATTTCTTGCATTTTTTCTCCAATGTTGCCCTTGGATAACACAAACAAAGAAACCAAGTTTAGAAGTTAATTACACCCTTGAAACATTCAAACATATTACGCCAACATAGTCACACAAGACACTAACTAGACCACATGTTTCAGTCAAGCTCTTACAAAAGCAACAACCTATATGTTCACGCTTGAGGGGGGGGGAGGAGTCAAGGTCCAGAACTCTACAGCTGGAGCTTCTAAAAAAACCCACCAGCTCAAAAAATATACGATCCAATTCTCTAGATGGAAGGGACTCTAGTGTTCTGCAGGTGAGCAGTTGAAAGAGCTTTCAGTCAAAAAGGTCGGATATAAGCTGTACGTGTCAGTGTGTCCTAAGAAGCTCATGTCATTGTAGGTAGGGTAATCCAACAGAAGCTGCAGAGCTGATTCAGATGAATCTTCCAGCTCGTTTGAACAAGACGCTTCAGATCCTAGTAGGAGATGATCTTCAGTGTTGTAATTAGATCTGCTGTTCTTCCACTCTGGCTCTTCCTCCTTCGGCTTGCACTCTGCAATTGGGGAAACACCTGCTGCAGTAAGGTCCATCTCAGTGGTGGTACCTGAAGCCGACCCACATTTTGTCGACGAAGATGCCTGAGAAAATGGTGGGCTTTGACATTCAGCGTCCATGGATTTTGTGAGCTTACGGAATGCTTCTCCTGTTTCAGAGTTCCAGATGCGTAAGAAGAAGTCGGCTTCAGATCCTCCAGTAGTGGGAGGGACCAACAGTTTTGATTCTCTTGAAAGTCGCGCCTCAGCTTCAAGCCTAGCACTTTCCCATTGTGCCATGTGACGGGTGGAGGGGTTCGTAGGGAGTCTCCTCTGCAACCCAATACATTCAGATGAGGGTTCATGTGTTATGGGGTCAATGCCCATGGAAAGCAGCCGCTTCTTCAGATGAGTATTCCACAAGTTCTTGATCTCATTGTCTGTCCTTCCGGGTAACTGGGAAGCAATAGCAGCCCATCTGGGTAGAAGTAGTTACTATTGATTATTACGGAGTATCATTACTAATAGTGTTGTTTTTGTTGTTCCCCATTAAAAAGTTCATGTTGAATATTTTCAGATGAATTAACTAAACCTGTTCCCGAGAATGGCGTGTAATTGAATGACAAGCTTCTCTTCCTCGGTGCTGAAGGGGCCTCTTTTGATATCAGGCCTTAGGTAGTTTGTCCACCTCAGACGGCAACTCTTCCCACAGCGTAGAAGACCTGCAAGATGGAAAGTGAGAACAGCAAAAATAAAGAAATTCACAGAGCAAAATAAATGAAAAGAAAAGTGAAAGGAAAAGAAAATGAGGAGATAATAAAGGAAAACAACTTTTCTTTCATTTTAATGAGGAAAGAAGAGAAACCATTTTCTTTTTCTTTCCTTCCAAATTCCTTGAACCAAACATAGTATTAGTGTCTGAGGTGTCTTTTAAAAGAGGCATCTCAGTAAACATGCCATAATTTGTTCATTTAAGATGGCGGTGCTCTTTCCAATTATTAATTGAAAGAAGATTCCAGCTCCACAACTTTAGAACTTAGGGTTCATCATAAACGTTGGGATAAGAAAAAACAAGAAAAGCCAACCATTTTACAATGAAGATAGATCGGTATTACTGAAATAGTACCTCACCGGTGCATGGTTGTCAAGTCGTCGCCTAGGCCACGACTAGTCGGAGACTAGTCGTCCGGGCGATTTTGCCATGGCGATTTGCTCTTCGACTAGCGCCTAGGGCCGCTTAGGCTATTAAGCGTGCAAAGTGACGCTTAGCCGCGATTAGGCGACGCCTAATCGGTGAAAGAAATTGGCCAAATTTGACCTAATCCAATCGACCCGACCCAAATTTCATTAATTTTTAAAAATTTTTCCTTCGACGCAATCGATCCACAATCGACCGTCTGGAGGGTCGCGACTGCTCGTCTTCCAGTAGCAGTGACTTCCAGGCTTCCAGCGACTCTCCTCCATCAGCGACTCTCCTCCATGGGTAAGATTTCTTAATGTTTACTTTGTTATCATTAAAGTATACTCTTTATTTGATTTAATTTTCATTGATTTGGTTCATTAAACTATAAAGTATAATATACTTTCAAATTTTCAGTTTTTTTCTGTTTTCTTAATATTTCAGTTTTTTTTTCTGATTTCAGTTAATACTTTGGTTTTTTTCTTATTCTAGTATTTTAGTATTTCAGTTTTTTTTTCAGTTTAATATTTCAATTTTTTTCTGAATTCAGTTAATATTTTGGTTTTGTATTTCTTATTTTAATATTTTAAGGGTTCTAGGCTCTTGTTTTTGTTTACTTGCTGGAATGTCATATTCACCAACTTGATTTAATAATTATTTCAGAACAAATGGGAGATAGTAATATCCGCGACTACGAAGACGATCCATAGATATATATAATGTTAAAATTTTCAATACTAATTGTGATTTGTCGACTAGTCTACGACTAGTCGCCTAGTCCACTAGTCTCCCCGTCACCGACTCGACTCGACTTGTCGACTTAACAACCATGCACCGGTGGCATAGACTCCATATTTTTGACAAAAATTACATTCCTTAAAATCAACCCAAACACAAACTTTATTTTGTTTCTTTGAAATGCATTGATCATATATACATTCCAAAAATATTAGGATAAGTATTACATCTTCAATGATTCACAAATCACAACTTCTTTACACAAGCATCTATTTGCTGCAGTTTGAAAGGGTTGTGACTTGTAAGAGTTGTATAATTTAAGAACTCCTGATCTGCAGATCTGTTCTTGCTAAAACGAATATAGATGCTAAGCTACCCTATGTTGACATTGGTCAATCTATTGACACTATTCATTATTAGGAAGCAGTACCAAGTAGGCAAGTACAAAGAGCGAATATTAAATAATAGCATTAGGCAGCAAACACTTCACTACATAGTACTCTCTATAATTAAAGATCAGCATTCAATTGGTTATAAAATAATAGCATACTCTTTAAGATTTGGTGTAGGACAAACGAAAAATACCTAAAAACAACCACATACATAAGAAGATAAATGCTATGATGGACCTAAGGTCCCCACAACTTTTTGTGGACTTGCATATTAGGATAGTTAACAAATGCTTACTACCCTGATGAACAGTTTTTTGTTCGTAACAAATAAAAAATGTTTTTGATGTGAGAAGGTCCACAAAAACTTATGTGGACCTTACGTTTACTTGAGAAGCACTCACATAAAAAATAGAATAAGGGACGGTAACAAAACTGTGTTAACGGCCATAACGGGTTTCCAGTTTGCAAAAG